TGGCTCATTGTGTCCGAATGCAGCCCCACAGAGGAGCAGAGAGGAATGAATGTAGCATGAATGAATGCATAAATACTACAAACCATGATTGCTCATATAGCATCAGGACTCTTTGTTTACCAGATAGCTTTATACACACTGTCTTCAGTTATGAATTACATTACACTTCAGCATGTTGCGATCTATTGCAAGACCCAACCAATGAATCCCAACTTCCTGATCTTCTGAATGTCAGCACTATGGTGGAGGTAATTCAGCCCTGCAGTGTTTTGTGAGGTCAGGTATCTGGCGGACACGCTGGATGGCATGAAAGCCTTTCTTTTGTACTTGTACATGCATTTTGTTCCTAAGCTCATTCTCCTCGTCTCTCTTCTCTCCGTGTCTGTATCTCCTTCATTGGTGTGCATTTCTTCTCCAGCTTGCATCTCAGGCTCCTTCAAGACCTCACAGGGAGACCACAAATGTCTGCAGTGCCCCATTAACAGCCGAACCACCAGCGAGGGAGCAACGAACTGCGTCTGTCGCAACAGCTACTACCGCACCGACTCCGACCCTCCACAGATGCCGTGCACCAGTATGTAGACAGCACAGTCCTGATCAGTGCACCGGCTGCAAACAGGCTCAAATGAGCGCCGATGCATCTCAGAAGAGCATAGACAGAAACACTGAGCTGTTTACATGTCTGTCACTGTCGTAAACGTTCTCCTAACGTTGTCGTTTCCTCTCTAAAGCTGTGTCACCAACGAACAGTGAGGTAGTTCATGTGTCTGCAGAGGCTCCAGCCACCGTCCTCTCACAGGCAGAGAAGCTCAGACTTAGAGGTTCTGATGTTTATCTGCCTCTTCCCTTCCAGCAGAACCACAACGAACAGATTAAGTCCTGTTGCCACTGTACAAGAGAATCAGTACACAACAACGCTGGCAGAGCCCAGAACCACTGAGAAGTCACTCAGCTGTGTGGTAGCTGCAGAGTGGGAAAGTATTTTGTATTTTTTTCTTCTCGTGCATTAATGGTAGCAGCTGGACCTGCTTGAGCTGCTTGAAGACGTTCCACCTTCATCCAAGAGGCTTCATCAGCTCTGACTGACTGGTTGGGAGTTCCACATCCTGACATCCTGAAGGAGACATTAACACCTGAGTTTGGGTTTAATTGGGGGTTTGTTGCTCCTCCCCCTCGTTATGTGAGTCGTTAGTGCTCCCCCTGACATGATGGGGTTCGTTAAGCCCCCAATTAAAACCCAAACTCAGGTGTTAACGTCTCCTTCAGGATATCAGGATGTGGAACTCCCAACCAGTCAGTCAGAGCTGATGAAGCCTCTTGGATGAAGGTGGAACGTCTTCAAGGAGCTCAAGCAGGTCCAGCTGCTACCATTAATCCACCAGAAGAACCATGAGCTGGAGGACTGAGGATCTTCAGACATGTTTGTATTTATTTTGTATTCACGGGAAATTCTTTTAAACATTTTGTGTTCATGTATTTTTTCAGGAATATTTTTTGTTATTTAGTCTTTAGAAATGAGCAAAACCACAGCCTATCCCAGCTGGCTCTGGGAGAAGGCAGATTCACCTGGACAGGTAGCCCGTCCATCACAGTAGCTTTGTAACCTGATGATAATATGATATATCCAGAGGAAGCAGCAGACTGGAAAAACAGTGGCACCTTAGAATAGTGTTTGTGGCAAGTCTACCATACCTACAGATTGGTGCCTAATGAAATGTTCTTCTCTCACCTTCTCTCCAGCTGTTCCGTCAGCACCACAAAACGTTATCTCCATAGTGAATGAAACATCTCTGAGGCTGGAGTGGAGCCCACCACAGGAGGGTGGAGGCCGAGAAGATGTTGTCTACAACATCATCTGTAAAAGCTGCGGCAGTGGACGAGGTGGCTGCACCCGCTGTGGAGACAACGTACAGTTTGTCCCGCGTCAGCTGGGCCTGACCGACACCCGCGTCCACATCAGCGACCTCCTGGCCCACACCCAGTACACCTTTGAAATACAAGCTGTCAACGGAGTGTCGGACCAGAGTCCTTATTCGCCGCAGTACACATCTGTCAACATCACCACCAACCAGGCTGGTGAGGCTAAGCCCTCTTACTACCTGGCACGACTTCCCTCCATTCACGTTTCACTCATTTATCTTTTTTTTGTTTCAGCACCATCAGCAGTGTCCATCATCCACCAGGTCAGCAGAGCTCCCAACAGCATCACTCTGTCCTGGTCCCAGCCGGATCAGCCCAATGGTGTCATCCTCGACTATGAACTGCAGTACTACGAGAAGGTACGTCTCACACACTCTAACCATGTGTTTTGTGTTTGGGGATGACTCTGCTGGAGTGGAGGAATCTGAGCAGGCCTGACGCAGACAGTCCCTGAGATCACGAACCTCCAGCAGAGCCTGAGGTTCACGATGTTTCAGTGAACACGGTATGAACACCAGAACAAGGAGAACAACTTAAACGGTGCTCATTTTGCTAAATCCAGCTGACGTAACTTCAAGGTACAATTATGAACCAACTGAGTTCTACAATCCAACAAACATGATAAACAACCAGAGGTATGATATTAACCTTTAAAGAGGAGGAGGTTGGAGAGCAGGAGGAGATTTGTGGATCTGCAGAGGCTGGTGTAGCAGCGATGTGGTGAGCGTGGAGCGGGCAGAATGAATGATGAAGCACGCTAAGTGTGTGGGCTGGACTTACATAGTGAACGACTGGACAGGACGGCCGTGTGACGTCCTGACTCTGTGCCTGTCTGAACGAACCGAAGCTCTATTAGTGATGAAGAGTCCTTCTTTGTCACAGTGGCTCCTGGAAATCATGGCTTCCTCACTGATGGCGACAGTCTTACTGCTGACAGATTTGTCTGATTCCTGATTCTCTGTGTGTTTCAGAACCAGGCGGAGTGGAACTCGTCTCTAACAAGGAGTCAGACCAACACTGCAGTCGTACGAGGCTTGAGGCCCGGAACTATCTACGTCTTCCAGGTTCGGGCTCGGACTGTCGCTGGATTTGGACGCTTTAGTGGCAAGATGTACTTCCAAACCATGACTGACGGTAGGAATGAATGTTTACTCGCTCCGTTTGCACATATGTCTGCCCCAGCAGACTTAGTAAACCAGCAATGGAATAAATATATAATTAAAGTCACATTTCTTGCTTTTCTGTCTTTTGAATTGCAGAAGAATATAACTCCAGTATCCAGGAAAAGCTGCCCCTCATCATCGGATCATCTGCTGCAGGGCTCGTCTTCATCATCGCCATCACTGTGGTCATAATTGTTTGTCGCAGGTAAGCCACCAACGTTCCAGGCCAACAACACGACAGTACCAACATGATTATTATATCCTCGTTCGCCCCAAAATACACGATTCCATCATCAGCACTGTAGGTTTTAGGCACCAAATGCCGTCACGATTCTTCCTGTGGGTCATCCTCCATGTAAGAAACATCAAGACACTGTCTGAACCAGAGGCTGGACTGATCCCAGGCGTCATCACATCACCATCTGGTCACGCTCAGAGTTCTTACAAAATGACAGAAAAAGGCTGTGAGTTGCATATATAGGACACCAGGATTGGAAACAGAAATATTAAAGGACATTTTGGACAAGGTGATGTTTAAATATCCATCAGTTAAATGCAAACAGTGTAAAGAATGACTTAATGTGCATCGACAGTAGAGCCTGTAGAATAAGGACACCGTGAGCTGCTTTAACTGACAACATCTTCACTAATAACATGGAAAATGGCACATTAGTAGATTACTAATAAATGATATTGATCATTTCCTGGAATCACAGTTTGCAGGTATAATTGTTAGATGGAAAAATAAATCAAATACAAGCGTATGCAAAGTGAACCAGCTGTGGCAGCATGACAAGGTGGATTACTTCTACAAGACTGAACCACGGTCTACAAGGAGCATGATGTTAACACAGCTTATGCAATCTTCATAGAAACAATAGCTATAAATAACAGGAAGGAAGTTGTAAATTAATTTAGTAAATTCTTAGTAAATGTTGGACCAAAGCAAATGAAAGAAAGGTTCCAGGGATGGCAGTTCTGCAGATAGACATGTGAGGCCAGAGCTACCTGGAGCTGGAGACGAGATGGAGGTGCTGGATGTGGTTGGTGAACATACGCCTGAGACATCACTGACTGGACTGATACGAACTCTGTCAAAATGCTGACAGCAGAGATTGTAAAACTTTCACATGTAATCTTGTACTTTGGCATGAATTCACATAATGAATAACATCAGACAGAAACAGACTCAACAAAACGTCCTCATATTCATCGCAGCTAAAATTCCACTCGCTAGCTTCTTCCAGACCTTCACCTGTGCCACATGGTCTTCATCAGTGGACTGACTGATGGGTCTGTTGACATCTTGGTTGTGTTTGTCACCAGCAGGAGAAGTTCAGACCGAACAGAGTCCGAGTACACAGACAAGCTGCAGCATTACACCAGCGGTCACAGTAAGTAGCCTCGTTACTGCTGTCCACAGACTGGCATCAGAGCTGAGCTTCATGCAGCACGTCTTGGTTTGGGAGCGTAGATAAGAACACTCTGGTTCTGTTTGTATGCATGTTTGGGTTTTGTGTGTATAGCGGTTGCTTTTTCTTCTGTCTCTCTATTGAAGTGTCACCAGGAATGAAGATCTACATCGACCCCTTCACGTACGAAGACCCCAACGAAGCGGTCCGAGAGTTTGCAAAGGAGATCGACATCGCCTGTGTCAAGATTGAACAAGTGATTGGTGCAGGTAAAGACAGAGGGTTTTTCTTTAAAAGAATTTAGTGCATCAGGCCACACCTGGATTGTGGAGACTAACGTACCAACTACAACGTTAAGACATGCATGTGGTGACACTCTTCCTGTCAGGCGAGTTCGGTGAGGTCTGCAGTGGAAACCTCCGGCAGCCTGGGAAGAGAGAGATACTGGTGGCCATTAAAACGTTAAAGGCAGGTTACACTGAGCGCCAGAGGAGGGACTTCCTGAGTGAGGCATCCATCATGGGCCAGTTCGACCACCCCAACATCATCCATCTGGAGGGAGTGGTGACCAAGAGCAGCCCTGTGATGATCATCACTGAGTTCATGGAGAATGGCTCCCTCGACTCCTTCCTTAGGGTACATTTACACACTCATCCATGGTAAAGTTGCCACCAGCAGCTCATCATCATCATTTTTTTTCTGCAATTAACTACTTTCTTTTTTAGTCAAAACAAAGCAAAGTGTCCAGATGTTTATGATCCCAGTCTGCCTATGACATGAACATATGAAAAGTCTGGCCTGTTCTGGTCTTTAAGGAAAGATCATCTTCCAAAAGTTTCTGTATTAAGTTTGAGAGTAAAGACGTGATTGCAAATGATCCTAAACAACCCATTTTGGAGACCGGATGCCTGGCCGATGAGGACACGTGTGGTTGATACGGAGAAGATTTACTCTAACTGAACTGTCTTCTCTCAAAAGCAAAATGATGGGCAGTTCACGGTGATCCAGCTGGTGGGAATGCTGCGCGGCATCGCAGCAGGGATGAAGTACCTGTGCGACATGAACTACGTCCATCGAGACCTGGCAGCTAGAAACATCCTCGTCAACAGCAACCTGGTGTGCAAAGTGTCAGACTTTGGCCTGTCACGCTTCCTTGAAGACGATACGTCGGATCCCACCTACACCAGCGCTCTGGTGAGTCTTTGCAGTAGTCTACAGGGAACTTGATTGAATCATGATGGACATTATAAAATGAAAGAAAGTATTTGAGAAAAACTGAACCAACCAAAAACAGCCAAACCATTGGGTCTGAACAAAACCTCTTCATGTCTTTCTGTCCCCTGCGCCGTCCCCCTTTACAGGGAGGGAAGATTCCCATTCGGTGGACAGCTCCAGAAGCCATTCAGTACAGGAAGTTCACCTCCTCCAGTGACTGCTGGAGCTATGGCATTGTCATGTGGGAGGTGATGTCATATGGAGAGAGGCCCTACTGGGACATGAGCAATCAAGATGTGAGTAGAGCCTGTCAAACAGCCACATCATTCACATCCATCCATCATCTCTACACCTTAACCCTCACCACGGTCATGGGGGGCGGAGCCTATCCCAGCTGACTCAGGGTGAAGGCAGGTTCACCTGGACAGGTAACCAGTCTATCACAGGGCTACACTTAGAGACAGACAACCAAGCACACTCACATTCACACCTACGGACAATTTACAATCACCAACTAACCTCAGCATGTTTCTGGACTGTGGGAGGAAGCCGGAGAACCTGTGGGACTCGGTATGACTGTATAGTACACATCTAGCCTGATATGACTGCACACACACACATATTTATGTATATGGTGACCCTCACAGGTCTTCAGGTACTCACACAGCAGCTAAACATCAGTGTTTCCACATGAATTCCTGCAGGTGATCAATGCCATAGAGCAGGACTACCGGTTGCCTCCTCCGATGGATTGTCCCAGTGCACTACATCAGCTGATGCTTGACTGCTGGCAGAAAGACCGAAACAACCGGCCTAAATTCAGCCAGATCGTCAGCACCCTGGATAAGATGATCCGCAACCCCAACAGTCTCAAGGCCATGACGCCGCTGTCATCAAGGTATGGCATTAAGAACCTCCGTTACTTCACACTACGACTGACCCACATTCCCCACAAGTCAGCTTCATCACCGGCTGTCCTTTTCTTCTTCTGTCTTGTCCGTCCACCAGCGTTCACTTACCTCTGCTGGACCGCAGCACTCCAGACTTCTCCTCTTTCAGCACAGTGGATGAGTGGCTGGATGCCATTAAGATGGGCCAGTACAAGGAGAACTTCACCAACGAAGGCTTCACCAGCTTCGATGTGGTGTCCCAGATGTCCATGGAGTATGTTAGACACTCTGTTATGTCTGTGTGGTTAGGGTTAGACACATCACGCTGATGCTTTGCTGCTGATAAGAATCATCTTGATCATTGGTGGTTGTCAAACCTAGTGCAGAAGCCAGACCTCATGGCTTATAATAGAACATGAATAGCTAAGATCTATCAGGCTGCACGTTGTAGAAGGACAGTGGAACACCTGTCAGAAGAATCCCAGTGAGGCAGGAGAAAAAAGGTCTTTACTGTCAGTAATGTCTCCTGTTCCTGTGAAGCAGCACAAAGTTACCACACGAGGCAGTCTTTAATGAAATAAGATGTTTTCTGTAACTGACACTTTAAAAATAAATGAGCCGGTTTACAGTTCATATGAACAGCCTGACAGAGGCTGCTAAAGGCAAAAAGCTTCATCACAGACTTGCTGCTATTTGTAAAATAATCTGATAAAACACACAGAAACCGTCCTTTAGCTTTAGAGGTCCTCTTACTGAGGTGGAGCTGACAGATGTTTTCTCCTCAGGGACATCCTACGGATAGGCGTGACACTGGCTGGACACCAGAAGAAGATCCTGAACAGCATCCAGTCCATGAGGGCCCAAATGAACCAGATCACCTCAGTGGAGGTGTGACATCACAGACCAGGAGCACGCCGGCTCGGTTCACTGTAGAAAGCCCAGCAGCCACTGCCCTGCATTCTCCTTGAGCCTCTGAGGAGGACGGATAGCTTCCCACAGACTGTGACTTCAGTCCAACCTCAGATCCACCCTTCTTCTCCTCAGACTCTCCAGAGGGTTGCATCAGCCTGCAGCACAGCACACATGGACGGTAGTTTTTTTGATGCTACTGTACATTCAGGTAACAGCCAGCTCGGGGGGGGGGCGGGTGCTGTGGTCAGCCATCTAAACCCAGTCTCCAAACCGTTCAGCCCATGTCTGTGTTGGACTCCCGGCACCGCTGGCTGCACCACCGAGTCAGAGCTCTCAGCAACAAATCATTTCCAAAGCTGACCGTGCACTTTTGTTTCGTGTAAAAGACTCACTGTCACAGTAAATGTGAATAAAATGAAAAACAGCACAATCAAACTCAACCCAATGGCAACTGCACAATGCAAACTCAGTTCTTAGCCTAAAGCTTGCAGGACTGAATGCTTTCAGTTGAGCACGCTTATAGTGCCACCTCCTGATCGACCCGTCACACAGTCACGTTGGCTGTTTGTTGTTAGGACCCGTAGCCTCGCTCAGCATATCACAGCACATGTTGGTACCATTAATGTCAGGCAGCGTTGCAGAGATGGGCGCTCGCTGTATTCTGTGGCTGCCTGTGTGCACAGCATCTTCGTTTTTATTGTTCATGGCAGAATGCACACAGGATCCAAAAAGCATGTCAACGGATCGGCAGGAGATCAAACACCTCATCATGACGTGACAGATAGAAGCCAGTAGAAGAAGAAGCACTGACTCTCCTCTGTAGCTGCACTGAAACCGAACCACCAGCTGCTCCTCCGCTGCGTCACCGAAGAGCAATCTGCAGAAGCTGACGAGCAAATAGTGGATTTGGGATACAGGCTGTTGTACAAACAGCAGCAACAACAAGGTTTAGCCACATCTGTCAGTAATAACAACCACGGTTATTTTTCTACGTTACAGTCCCACAAGAACTCTGTCAAACAGGATGCTGTTTGGTTTCTGGGGCCGATAGAAGCGACCAGTCCTGTACAAAGACAAACACAAGCCGAGGGAATCTGTTCTCAGCACGACTCCTGTTACCGTCACATCACTGCTGACCAGACGGGGCGGTTTGGAGTTTGTGTTTATCGGCAGGAATCAGGAGATGACATTTGCTCTTTAAAGGTCTTTTTAAAAGGTCGTCACATATTCCAGCGCCTGTGCTGTGAGAAGCTGCAGATGTTGTTTTGACTGGTGAACTGACATCTGGGACAAATGAAGGAACCGAGTAGCTCCGGTCAACCCACGGACCGCAGAACCTTCAAAGCGTCTACAGAAGTCATAAAGCTGTCGGTCAGTCGGTTGATGTTTCTGTTTTGTATAAACGTCCTCTCATGTCTTCTACGTCTCTTCACTCTGAGACACTCGTCACTTGAAATGGACACGTTGTAAATGTGGACTGAACCATGCTGCTCGTCTTCCCTGTGATTCTACCGGCCCGTTTACTGTGACAGGTTGGGTCAGGGTTTGGGTTGGGAAGCTTTTTGATGTGTCTCTCAGTGCTGTACACGTGTTTTGGTGGTAACGGTAGCCTACTGCAGTGTTTCCAGTCGTTCCAGACAAATCCGTTTGGCTCACGGTGGTCGTCTTGTACATATCAGTGTTTTCTTTATTTATTCTGACGTACACCCCAACAGAACAACTGGACGGGGTTCTGGAACGACCACTTCAGTGACTCGGTGTCTTTATTAGTTTGTGCATTAACTGGTGTAAAAAAAATATGCAATTGTGCTCAGAAGCCTAAACTCTCCTTCAGCTGGACGTCCCGGCGATGTGAGCTTTGACAGGTTGTGAAGAGCATCAGGACACGTATGGAGGACACGTCTGTTCTTCTCACTGTGACTCATTCCAGCATCAGTTCTGAGGTCACACCCTTCTTTATTCTTTATTCTTTATGTGGATCCCCGTCCGCCTCCACAGGGGGGCTGCCGGTCTTCCTGGGGTCCGTCCACTAAACAGCATTAAAAACAATCCATTTAAAATCACAGAACATCAGCGAGACATCATCTCAACCCAAAGCTAAGACCAGAAAAGTTCTGAAAAATCAAAAGTTGTCACAGACTCACAGCAATTCACAAAATTTTTTTTAAAAAGTTCCAGAACATCTGTACCAACATCTACATAGATCAGTTTGAGTCTGAGTGACGTCTTAAAGGGAGACGACTGTTCATCTGTCCAGACCCGGCAGGGAGCCTGTTCCACACTGAGACCTCTGTGAACAACAGCTCTCATCATGACGTTTGTTCGTGGACTTGGTGCCACCAGAAGACCAGCGCTGACTCAGCGTGTCACAGACCCACCATGTGCTGGTTTATGACCAAAGACCTGAGGTGTGCTGTCCAGGATGACGGCGTGCTTACACCACAGAAGACCAGATGTGAAGTTAGCCTCCGCAGTCAGCCACGTTAGTCCACATTCATAAATATGTAATATGTAGTAATTATGGAGAACCAGAACTCTACGTGGTCCTGGTGACACACAGACTGGATTTATGTGGGCCTCACCAGAATCATTCAGCTTCCACAGAGCTCAGAACCTCCACATGAAGCTCAGACGACGTTTGGGATTTTGAGAAGCTATTCAGCAGTTTAACTCCCTGAAGCACAGCCCGGCCTGAGCTGGATGGATTGAAAGGTTCCAGTGGATCAGAACCCTACGGTGTTTGTATGGTGCTGTAGCTGCACCTGTTCATGCTACAATCAAACTATGACCATGAAATTCAACCGCTGTCTTACTTTTAAAGAGAAGAAATGATGCGGTACAGGTGCCGTGTCTCACCTGTACCACACCTGGTGCAGCTGTCAGCCACAACCTGTGCTGTGTGCACTCACGGGTGGAGACCCACGGTTTTGGGGCATTTAAATTTAGCTTCTACAATTAGAGGGCAATAATTCCTTCTTTTGAATCTATAAACTAGAATCTTGTGACTTTGACGCAGCCACAAGCCGGTTCTAGAAACAGAACAACAAACCCGTGGTTCTTCACTTTCTGACCAACTGTCCCCTCACGCCTCACGGTGAGAAGCACCGACTGGCAGCAGCTTCTACAGCCTTCACAGATCACTCTCACAGCTGGTAGCTGCTACGGTCTGACCAGGAAAGGGTTCTGAACACTGTTCAAGACTTCCAGCTTCACGTCTCACAGGCTGCTAGCTCTGCAAACACCAGGTGAAGAACAGATCACTGGTTCTGTCATGTTTCTGGTGAGGACGGTGTTTTCCAAAGAGAAGGAACCGTGACCCGTGAATCCTCTCAGCTGTGGTGTGGGGCGTTCAGGGCCTCTGTGGGTAATCCGTCCGTGTACAGACTCCCTTCATGGCTGAAGGTGATGGAGCTGAGGGGAGATGCTGACCAACATGCTGCTTCAGGAACCCTGTGGCTGGAGGTTCTGAAGGGTTCCTACGCTTCACAGGACCAGAATACACTCAGAACTCTATTTTGTTGGTTTTAAATAAATGTGAATTTTGATAAAACTGTGGTTTTTATAAATGCTATGACAACAGTTTATACTGACACTTATACTCCAGAGATGTGAACTCTCTCGTTGGTTCATGTGACGTTTGAGTGACTCTCGTCTTTTTGTTTTAGGATATTCGACACGTTCTTCCCTCGACTGTACGAGCACAAGACACACGTGTACTCTTCACTGTTGATGTTCTGTACTTGGGTCTGTTCTGATCTAAAACCCACTGATCTGGTTGGTCAGAATGTTCTGAGCTCTGCTGAGGTACCAGGCAGCGGCTAATGGACCTCCTCCCTTCAGTTTTTGTGCTTAAGTTATTCTTTATGATCCACTCACTAGAACAAGTTCTCACCTAGAATGAAGGGTTGGCTGTCTGTTGTGTTGTTCCTGTGTTCCTCACACGGTGCTGGCTGAGCTGCTGAACACCTTTGGGCCACAGTGGGCTGGTCCGGCCAAACACCTTCACCCTCCTCCTCTTCTTGTTGGTCCACGGTGAGCTCATGTTGCACTGAACCGCTCTACATGTGCAGTATTGGCCGAGTGCAGGTGTGTGTCTGAGCATGTGTTCAGTGGAAGCGGGTCACACCAGCACCGCCAGTCGCTGTGGGTGTGGTTTATGCTCAGACTTCCTTCAGTCTGAAACAAGGTGCTTCCACGTCTCATCCTGAAGCTCTTCCAACAAAGTATGAGTTCATGTCAGTGAGATGTTCAGTATCGGTCATGCTGTGTGTGACATCACTGCACCCACGGTCCTGCATGTCCTCCAGCCACG